AAGCAGTGCTTTTACAACTTCTTTGCTCCTTTCAGTTTGCCATGGGATTGCTTCAGTCCATCCAGTAAAGGTATCTACTAACACTAATAAATATTTGAATCCTCTGGGAGCAGGGGCATTACTGTAGTCTACCTGCTAATTTTTTCCAATCAACCTTTCCCGGGCCTGGTAGCAGAGTTCTGGTATATGCATTATTCTTTGTGTGCTGTACACAGCTAGCCATGACATTGTTAATGACTCCTCTGATACCCAGGGTCACTCTTACCCGATCTAACCATTCACAGGGTGCTTCCTTTCCATAGTATATGGAATCACGGGCTTCTTTTACTATTTTCCAAGCTCGCCTGTGAGGAACAAATATCTTTTTGTGTTCATTTATCTCTGTGGGTATAGGTGCCTGGTCTTCTAGGACCTGATTGAATAGGTAAAGGATATGACAGCTGTTTTGATCCTATTTGACATGTCAGAGACTAAAAGAATTTCTTTGTGTCCAGCTTTCCCAACACCCCTTTGTGTACTGTCTTAAGCATTCTTTCAATCTTTCTTAACATATATAAATGCTCCACTGCAGCTTGGAAAACACCCTTGATCAACTAGGTTTGTCTTTCTTAAAATAGGAGTTCCTCAACCTATTGCCCCTCAGAATCTTCTGGAGAGCATTGCTAAATTGTTCTCCAGTTTATTCTGATGTGTGACCAAGAGTGGAAACCTCTGCTTTCAACCTTACCCATACATTCTAACAAGAATATTTGTTTCCTTGATTTTGATGTAAAACATTACCTCTGAAAGAGAGTATCACCTCCTACCCAAATGCCATGGATTCTTTGCTTTCTCTGTCCTCTGTTATCACATGTGTGGTAAAATTTCCAAAATCATACCTGCTAGAAATTGATAATCCCCAACCTCTTATCCTTCAGAGGAAGAAAAGCAGTGAAAGTCTTCTATATGAATAGATTTGGGGAAGGTCACGTATTCAAACAGCCTACAAAACATGCTTCAATTGTGGCTCATAGATAATTCTTCCCATATAACCCCAAGCATATATCTTTACACCATTAGCCATAGATAGACTAGCCCCGAGTCCCACAGCCAAACCTTTGCCTCTCAGTCTTGCTCGTCCCAGATCACCTCCGCTGGAAACCATGAGCCTCCTCAGTGAAGGTGGTGAGGCCTGTCTGATGGGAACCTCACCAGCATTCAGGAAACTGCTGGGGTGCCTTCATGAGTTCCACTCTGGCTTCAGATGCTTCAGAAAGTACACTCCTTGGATGGAAGCAGGGTAGGAGTTTTGGAGGAGAAGCTTGAATGCGATTAGTAACAGATGAAATGCTGCAACTTGAGGAAGCAAAGAAGCTGCACTTAGAAAATAATGCCTCCCGAATCTACACTAGATTGCACACCTCAAGCCAAGCTACCTTGGACAGGACAGACATAATTTCTTCCCACTGACACACTTGTTACATTTTTAAATTTATATAAGCACTTAATTTCTTTAACTAAAATAGACAAATCCATTTCTGGAGAAAGTAACCCAAGGGGCTGAATTTGGGGATCGAATCTGAGGTTCCTATAGCTTGCACATTTACATATAAGATAAACAAGGCAACGTAAAAGTACATGCAAAGAACAAAATCCAACTCCTGTAGAACAGAACCAATAACCTCTAGCCCACCGAAAACACTATCAATGACACAAGGTTTCCTGACAACCAGACAGCCAGACCAGAAGTCATCATCTAAGGATGTCTTGGATTGCCCTGCAGGCGTTCCTCAACTTTCCAGAGTTGGGCCCCGAATCCAATGTCTGGGAGACAGTTCCTATGTCACCAAGCTGAAACCAAGCATGCACCAGAAATGATACTATCCTTTAGACAACCTTATACCCCAAACTGGAATAGAAGCACTAATTAAAGTGACCACAGAGCTGACCTATCTGCCTACCTTCCAGGCCACTGAAAAGAACAGGTTTGGGTGGCCACTCCACTGTTAAGTCTGGTCAGGCAGGGGTTCAGGTAGTTAGCACCAAGCTGGAATTTCCTATAGAATAGATCCTCCATCCGGTGGAGATGCAGGCAAGTAAATCCCAGACAAGCTGCCATTGCTGACTGCTTCACCCAGTGTCCACACCAGGCTGAGAGAGAGACTTTTTAGGAGGATTCTACAAGAATCACCAAATTTGTTACCGAACTCAAGGGGTGTTCTACTCAAGAATGAGTGCTTGAAGTGTTCAACTCAAGAACTAGACGTGGTTGTTATTAGGTAGTTTTATTTACTTGCAGCAAGTAAAGGAGATGGGATTCACATCCAAAGCTCTTGCCTCCTTGAGCGTGGTGTGGCCATTGCTTATATACACTATTTGGTTGATTTCTTCTTTACAGTTGGCTACATTTACAAGGTTGAGTTCCCCGCAAGCTCATCCTCTTTACAACTACATCTGCAAAATACTGTGCTACATTTTAACATTTAGCAAAAATAGCAATTAGTAAGAACTACACAGAACTTGAGACCCTTGTCTCATGTAACAGTGTAAGGTCACCACTCTGAAGTCTCACAAAAATTGTTAGCCAGAAAGTTCAGAGTGAGACTAGTAATTAAAGGTTTTCATATTGATTTGGCCCATGTTCAAAATCCAGCTCCTTTCTCTAGTCACCGTGCAAATTACTTAACCTATGATAACAGGTACATATTGGGGCTATGAGGAAACACAGACTTAACTTGCAACTCTCAGTTAATCATAAAGTTATGAAAACTCCACAGGTGTTGCTATAATGGCCATGTGAATGGGGAATGCCCAAGCAGCTTCAGGAGCACAGCTTTTTCCAGATGCCAAAGCAGGGCACTAAGTTCAAAATCTTTCAGGTTAACTCCCCTACCACAGGGAGTGGTGAGGTTACTTGTCCTGTGTTCTTTACAAGAAAAAGATACTCAACCCTTCTCTTTGTCTCTACCCAGAATGAAGCCAAGGATGAGTAGCAGGACCGTGAGGCTGTAGCTGATAATGGTGAAAGTGAGGATTCATCTTTGACCAAGTGAACAATGAAATGCTCACTGTAGTTCAGGATCCCTGAAGTCCTGGGCTGTTCCCAAACTGGTAAGGTGATCCCCTCACAGGAGAGGCATATAAGAGGTGGCAAGAGGAAAGGAAAGTGGGGTAAGGAGGCTTGAGGGATCCAGTTCTTTTGGCTGTGAGCATCCATCTACCATCTTAGGCTGAGGAACCACAATAGATATGTGAGGTTGACAATCAGGAAGTTGGCTTTGCCCTACTTCTCTGGGTTGTAATGAGAATATTTGATCCATTCTATGGGAAGTGGTTATGAATCCTTGGAAAAAAGGAATATTGTCAATTAAACAATTGAATCAATTAGTTAAAATGTTTCGGTGAAGGAAGGAAGTAAAGAAACTATATGTAGAGCCCCAGTAGTTATTTTATAGGGGTAAAACCTGTGTTAATGCACATCTGAAGGGCTGAACCAAACCAGGTGGGTAATTTTACACATTGGCATTATCTATAAATTTTGGGTGTAAACTTTTGTAAAACCTACTTCAAATTCATTCTCAATGTATTATTAGGTAATGGGAAGTAGACATGTAGGTAACAGAAATGGTAACTGTGCAAAGCAGCTACTACATATGGGGTTGAGAGAATACAGGGAAAGTTGACCAGAATTTGGAAGCTTGATAGGCCCTGAAGCACTGGCATTCAGATCGTGGGGGGTTGGTGGCCAAGTAGTGCTGCCTGATTGGCACTGGCATTCAGATCGTGGGGGGTTGGTGGCCAAGTGCTGCCTGATTGGTTATTTCCAAGGGGCCCATAAGTATGGTTCAGGATGGTTGTATATTTTGTTCACTTCTTTATATCTACCTCCTACTACAATACCTGGTACATTACAGATGATCAAATTAATTCCTAAATAAATGTGTTCTCTAATTCTTACCCATCTACTCCGGACCATTCAGAGTAGCTCACAGGCAAGGGTTGTGAGATCTAGTACTCAATGTTTCTTCTTCTGCCCAGCAGACAAGAGAATAAAGCAAATTAGAGGTGAAGGCAACTTGAAAATGCCAGTTCTCTAGTTGCATCCCAGTTTCCCTGGCCACAGAAGACCCAGGAGTGGGAGGTGCATGCTAGTGAGGCATGATCTCCAATTCCATAGCATTTGTATTGACTTTCAGTGGCTCTCCTCATTTATCAAATCTAACTTCTTGGATATCATAACCAAAGCCCTTCAATAATTGATCCACCCCAGGGCTGTGTCCTTCTTCCCCACCATGAATCTCCAATGAAGCCAGGCTGTCCCAAACATTCTTTACCTTTACTCAGGACCTTCAAAGACGTTAATTTTTGATTTTTTGTAGAGCAGAGGTAAGTATGTGTCTCTGGGAACTGGCCAGCATACCTTGTCCTAAGGGCCACGTTCAAGGACAGCATATGCAGGAAAATGTAGAGTGGCCCCAGCAAGGTTTAAACTGAGGAAACACTGAAGTATATTCTCTGTCCTGCCTTTACTTCTCTTTCCTGTTTAGAAAAAAAAAATTTCTTGTCTTTAAGGTAGAATGTCACTTGCTTTTCACCGTAAGTTATCCAAGATACTAACATTGTCAGTGTATGGGCCAAGAGTCATGTATAATGTACCCTCCTTTTAGTACTTTTTATTCATGGAGATTTCAAAAAGGCTTAAATACCTATGCCTTGTACTGGATCACCTTTTAACATTGGTTCTTAGGGCTCCTCACACTCACCCTGCCTTTCACCTGCAGTCAGAGCCTCCTGCAGTCCCTCTATTTTTCTTATGCCTGTGATCTCTCTTCTCAGTGAAGGCTCAAACCCTTCCCACCTTATTCTATTCCTTCTCTCCCATTTCCTGCCCCTTATTCCTTCTCTGTATGTGCTACTGCCCTGAAGCAGGTGCTACATTTAGATCTTCCTCAGGACCTTGCAGGCTTCTACGTGAGTGTTAAGTTTCTAATGGAGAAAATTACAACCAAAGACCAAGGAAGTGGAGGGAGAAACACCTTTATTTTCATCAGAAAGAGTAATGCTTAGAAACTTGTAGAAACTGATTATAAGAGACAAGAAACCAGGAACGAGTGAGGGTGATGGTGAGATAAGAAATCTTACAAAGATTAAACCAGATGTTACATTTGCTAAGGATCACTTGCTTTGATTTACTATTACTCAATGGCTTAACCTGTCTTTCATTTCTTTTGCTCCCTTTTCAGTGGTGGCTGTGTTACAGAGTAGTGATCGATCAGCCCTGAAGGTAGCAGTAGTACAAAATAGTAGGTGCTAGAGCTCAGCTGTTGGGTTAGAACAGAGCCATGCTGTTAAACTTCTAGATGTGCTCCCCATGAGAGGGAAAATTTCTTCTAACATGGCCCAGAAACAGTTCTCAGGCATCCAGTGACCCATTCTCTGTTCACATCTAGTATACCCTAATTTCCTGGCAGGATTTATGGGTCCTGTAGCCTCTGCCCTTGTAAGCAAAATTGAAGTCCACAGTGAGACAAGACTCTGGAATCAGAGGCAGAGATGGGAAGAGGGTTCAGCATTCTTAGGCTGATTCCTATTCCCAGACATGGTACTTGAGATCCAGTTGTCAATAAGTTTACTGCTAATCCAGGGTGTGGCTAGTAAAACTCTCCACAGCAGAAGGAAGCTCTGAGAAACACATGTCGATTTAAGGAACTGAGGTGTCCAGTTTCCTACACACTCAGCACATCTCTTCCTGTGATAGATCTCTTGTGTGTACTTCCTGATGGCAGATGAGGGCGGCATTTTTAGTGAAACTTTTCTCTCGCTGAGAGCACTTGTAAGGCTGTTCCCCAGTGTGGGTTTTCTGGTGGGCACTGAAGTTCTTGCTATTGTTGAAGCTTTTACCACACTGCACACACTTGTATAGGCTCTCCCCTGTATGGACTCGCCGGTGAATGCTAAACTGGGCACTGGTGTTGAATCTCTTCCCACAGACAGTGCACTGACAAGGCTTCTCTCCAGTGTGAGGCCTCTGGTGAACAATGAGGCTAGAGCTCTGGTTGAAGCTTCTCCCACATTCCCCACCGTGTAAGTTCTTAGTTGGGCAGTGAGGTTGGAGTGCTCGCTGAAGCCTTTCTCACATTCACTGCTCTTGTAAGGCTTCCCTCCTGTGTGGATTCTCTGATACCAAACAAGATAAGAACCTCAGCTAAAGCTTTTCCCACATTTGTGATGATATTTAGAAGCTTTTTCCAGTTCTGGGGCTGGCTGGTGGTGAGGAGGGAGAACTCTGAGAGCACTTTCTCCCACAGAAGGGAAGAGTCCAGGCCTTCTTCCTGGTCCAAAGTCTCTGGTGACTTATCCTCTCTCGAGATGGGGTTCTCTCCGCACTCTTCCCTGGAGAATGCCTATGTTGCCTTCTCAACACTCTCACCCTCCCAGCCTGTTTTCAGCTCAGAGTGCCAGAACACTTCTCCACTAGACTTTCTCCATATACCCATGTTCATGTCTACTTCTGAACCTTCTCATTTTGGATTATCTTTTTTAATCCCATTCTTGATCTCGAAACCTGAAAGAATAAAATTACACTGGATTGTGGAGAAGGAAAACAATGGAATGAGGAAAGAGTTACATTTAAACCACAACAGAGAAGAAATACCTAACTGGAATTCACGTGATTCAGTCTTCTGCTAATTAAAAAGCTAAGTTTTATTTTCCAATTAATATTTTAACCTCCAATTTTTGTGACCATAGGTAAATATACCTTAATTCAACCTACTTTTCTCTTATTCTGTCTCTTTTTGGATATTCTGACACAATGACAAAACTGAGGGTAAGAGTTATGCTTTATGTCATTTGTCTGTCTGTCTATAGGTGTATTCTCAATTCTTAAATGGCCTATTTTCTGGGAGTAGAATCATAAAAGGCGATCCTGAGACTAGCCAGCTCTAACAAGAAGAAAGCAAGTTTCTGAGTGTCTGGTTATGAAAAGAAGACCAGTGGTAGAGAAGGAGGCAAGAGAAGAAAGTCTGGGCTCGAGTCCAAACCAACAATCTAAGGAAGCACATTAAGTGGAATTCCATGGGGGAAAAAATGACACAGACTCTTTGAAAGAAACTGGTAAATGCTAAATCAGGCACTCAATTGCAAGGGAAATAATCCTTAAACACCATGAAAACCTAAAGTCCTTGGCCTATATAAGGTCATTCATCAACATGATGACAAGAACAGGAGCAAAAACAGCTCCCTCTTGATCGCTAGGGTAATGTCCTGTATGTGGACTTTACCATCCTTTGACCATCCTCAAACTATGCCACAGTTAGTTGCCACCATTCCTGGAAGATATCTCACTGTGGGGTTTTTTTCCTAAAACAAAAACATTCAGTGTAATAGGCAAGACATCCCCTCCAACTGAGGAGTGTAGACGACTTACGAAAGCTGCCACTTCTATTTCTCTTTGATTATCCTGGATCTCTGCATTTCCCCTGAGAGATGAATCACGGTAAGGACAGTGCTCACCTGTATCCACAATGGTGGGAATCCCTGAGGTTATGTGGTCACATAAGAGGAAATGGTGAACAGAGGAGACTTGGATAGAAGCAAAGATTCAAAGGAGAGAAGAGCTAGTTATAGAAGACTTTTGCCTACTCCCACCTCTGATGCCTGAGTACCCCCTCATGTGCCCATTTCCATCTGTTATATCTCTTCTCATCCTTGTAGAAGCAAGAAACTACATTACGGCAGTTACTATTCCAAAGGGAGAATAAGCTGTTAATGCCTGAGAATAGCAGTTTAGGCTAGATGGCAATTCGAGAACCCTACACCTAACTGAAGCCTAGCATCCATCCCCTCAAAGGGGTGGCATCTGGGCCAGTTATTGGTGGGGGTGCTTATTTTCTCAGAGCTGTCTCAGTAAGTGCATTCTGATTACATCTGGTCATGATGCTCTGAAGGGCACACAGCCTCTATCATCACCTCCTCTACTCCAGTCTCTCCGAGCCACCATTATCTGATGCCAAAGTTACACCGGAGCCGCCTCCCTGGTCTTCTTGATTCCACTCTTGATCTCCTACAGTCTGATCTCAGCCCAGCAGTCAAAGTGAACCCCTTTCTTTTTCATTCAATTCAAACTAACACATATTGAATGCCTACCATACTATTTTATGAGAAATGGAAATATGAACATGACATGGATCCTGACTTCAAGGAGGGTAGTAAAAAGAGATGCAAATTTTAAGTAGAGTTAAGTGCCAAATAAACTGAAATATCTAAAGTGGCCATATTAAAACTATTTCTTCTCTACTCAGAACCCTGCAAGTATACCCCTTATAACTCTGAAAATTCATGTCCTTTATGTAGGGCCTCAAGGTCTATCTTAGTGATTCTCAAATTTCTGTGAAAAAGCAGGGGTTTTTTTGTTTGTTTGTTTAAAGTACTATAAAAATGCAGTAGGATAGTGCAACAATATTAAAATGCTGTAAACATTTTTAAACATTCTCAATTGCAGTTCCCGTCACTTCTACTACTACTGCCCTATGCAATGTGGCTCGTGAATCTTGTTTATTACTCATCTTCTCTCATTCTGCAGATCACACTGGCCTTCTTGCCAAGTCTTGCTCCATCATGAGCCTCTGCACTGACTATTCCCTCTGCCTCTTAAC